TTGTATCCTTTCACCATATGTATTCAGTCTGTATGCTGGGTAAATAATCTGAAAAGCTGGACTATATGAAGAAGAACATGGCATCAGGATTAGAGGAAGATTCATCAACAACCTTCCTTTTAGGAAGTGAAGAGGACTTGAAATATGAAGATCAAACAACAGTCTTCAGTGTGGATTGTACCTCCATGTAAAAAAAACAAAAATCCCCACAAGCCGACCAATAAAGAGGGTCATGATAAATGGAGAAATAACTCCTGGTGTGGTGCTATAGAACAAGCAGTAGACTTCTAAACAAAAGGTTGGGAGTTCAAATCCACTAGCCACTCCTCAGAAACCCTGTATGCATAGGGTTGCTATTAGTTAGAACCAACTTGTCAGCACTGAGCAACAACAACAAAATTGAGACGAGACTGAAGTTGTCAAAGACTTCATTTTACTTGAATCCACAATCAATGCTCATGGAAGCAGCAGTCAAGAAATCAAATGACATATTGCATTGGGCAAATCTGCTGCAAAAGATTTCTTGAAAATGTTCAAGAGCTAAGATATCACTTTGAGGACAAATGCACACCTGACTCAAGCCAAGGTCTTTTCTATAAACTTATATGCATGCAAAAGCTGAACAGTGAATAAGGAAGACTGAAGAAGCATTTGAATTATGGCACTGGTGCAGAATGTTAAAAGTACCATGGGCTGCCAAAAGACCAAACATAGGTGTCTTGGAAGAAGTGCAACCAGAATGTTCCTTGGACGTGAAGATGGCGAGACGTCGTGTCACAGACTTTGGACATGTTATCAGGAGGCACCAGTTCCTGGAGAAGGACATCGTGTCTGGAAAATGAGGCACCTTGTAAAAGAGGAAAGCCCACTAGGCGATGGACTGACACAGTAGCTGCAACCATTGGGCTTAAACATAGCAATTATGAAGCTGGCGTAGAAACTGGCTAGTATTTTGTTCTGTTCTGCATAGGGTCACAATGAATCAGCACCAACTTGATGGCACTAATAAGAACTCCTTTAAAACCCAGCTGCTGAAAGCCTTGGTTGTTAAAGGTTCCAGTGCCCACTCTCGTTTCTAAAGTACCGAAGATGCAAAGGCACTTAACAACAACAACCATCTGACAAATGGGAACCACTCTACCCAATCTCACAGGCTGTGACCAATGACTTACTAACAAAGTCCCAAAGACCATCCAGGGGGCATCAGTTCATTTCCCACAGTCCCCAATGGGATAAGGCATAAGCAGGCCTCTGGGTTTGACCACATCCTTGCTTAGCTCCCCTTCTTGCCCTATCCTTAACCCCCTTTTCCCTGAGAGCACTCAAGAAATCACAGCTTCTGATGGTACTTCTAAGGAGCTCAGATTAATACACCATATGCCAGTGCCCAAGGGGAAATTTATTCAGAGGGTTCCTAGAATCCGAAGCAGTCGGAGATTAATTCCACTGTAGAAAGATATGCTGCAAGAAGAAAGGCTGTGCTGATATTTCAGAGAAAGGAGAGACTTATGTCAAAGAGTAAATAAATAAAATGCTGTAGGAACCAGAAGAAAATTTTCACATAAGCTAGAGTGTGACATTTGAGTTCATCTTCTGAAAAGAACAGCAATATAGCAATAATACAAGCCTGTAAGGCTTCAAACGCAGATGTATCCATATATCAACATACCTGGCTCTTGGTCTGGTATATAACTGTTGCTCTTGAGTCTATTCCCAATTCATGGTAACCCTACAGGAAAGGTAGAACCATATCATTTCCAAGGCTGTCTTCCATAGAACAGCGGGTGAGTTCAAACCTCTAACCTTTGGGTTAACAATCAAGCACTTAACCACTGTGCCACTTGGCATATGTTATTGTTGCTTAGTGCCATTGAGTTGGTTCAGACTCAGAGCACCACACCAGGAGCTCAAATATAGTGGGACTCCCATATAGTTGTAGCTGTTACGTGCTGTTGAGTTGGTTCCAACTCATAGCGACCCTGTTCTGAAGAACAGTTGGTTCTGAAGAACAGTTGGTGAACTTGAACCACCAACCTTGTGGTTCAAACTGACCTTGCAGTTCAGCACAAATAAATCACAGTCTTATTAAACTGCTATTGGCAAGATGTGTGAAAGTTTTCAGTAAACAAAAGGGAGTGGAAAACTTCCAGAAGGTGGTGTGTTAGTCAAGTCCTGGTGTGGCACTGTAGGGTATGCAGTGGACTACAAACCACAAAGTTGGCTACTTCTTGGAAACCGTATAGAGGGTTGTTATGAGTCAGAAATGACTGGATGGCACTTAACAGCAACAACAATAAATCATCATTTAAATTGTACCCACATGCATGTGTCTTACTGGTTATCACAACTTGCTACTGTGAAAGGGTCTTATTTAAATTCTGAAACTTATTTAAATTCTGAAACTCTGGATGCTACAGACAAATGTTAAGTATATTCTAGATTCTGAAAGTGCCTACCATGTTGGGAGGCTTTGGGGCAAGGTTCTGGAGGTAAATGTAGCAAAGCCACTGGTCTCTGAGTGTTCACAGTCCTAGCAGCAAACTGCTATATGGCAAAACTTTTCCACTAAGCACAGGGGAGTGAAAAATTTCCAGAAGGTTTTGTGACAGTCTAGGAGCTGGCCAGAGATCCTAGTGAGCTGAACCCGGCTACCCCATTCTCCCTTCCTCCTGCCCCTGGTGTCCTGGTGTGGCTTTGTACGAGAAGCATGGGACTGCTAGTCTCAAGGTTGGTGCTTGAAACCCTCCAGACACTCCTGGGAAACCCTATACAACAGTGGTGGGGAGCATCCGGTCTGCTGGCCACAGGCCTGATAAATCATTTGATCTGGCCCTTCCAGCGTGGTTCCAGGCATTACCTTGTTATTCTTCAGTGCCTTCGAGTCCATTCCGACTGATAGTGACTTTGTTTATAGGGTTTCCAAGGAGCAGCTGGTGAGTTTGAACTGCCAGCCTTGTGGTTCACTGTCCAGTGAGCCATCACATTAGGGGTGAATTAATGTTTGACTATATATAGCAGGCTAATTTTTATGTTGATAATTTTGTATAGCTCATGAATGATGTTGCAAACTTTGGCAAAAAAAAAAGGTTCCTCACCCCTGTTATACAGGGTCACTATGAGTCAGAACCGACCTGACGGCACTTACCAACAGCAGCAATGTTCACTTGTTTAGTCTGTATCTCTAAGAAGGTTACTAAGTATTTGTCCTTTGGCATGTCTTCAGTCAGCATCATGGCTCATGTTTCCACGTTGTACCATGTAGCAGAACTTCATTTCTCTTGATGGTGACTATTCCATTGTATGTATGTACCATACTTTCTTTATTCATCTTTTGATTGATGATTACACCGTTTCCACCACTGAATATTGTTAATCATCCTGCAGTGAACATTGATAGACAGATAGCTGTGTGAGTCCCTGCTTTCAGGCCTCCTGAGTATACACCTGGAAGTGGAATTGCAGGGTCTAAGAACTCCCAGTGCAGCACTGGGGGCTAATGCGCTGGACTGCAGTCAGTTTGAACCACAAGCTCGGTGGAAACTTGGAAACTCTATACAGGGTCACTATGGGTCAGAAGTGACTTGACGACTCTTCACAACAACAGCAGTGAGCATTGGTGGCGCTGCAGGAGAAGCATTGCTTACCCTGGACTAACCATCAATTGGTGGTTTACATACATCAGAGGCTCTGTGGGAGAAAAATGACCCTGCCTACTTTCATGAAGATTTATAATTTCCGAAACCCTATCTAGGGTCGCTGGAGTTCTGGTGTGGCCCTGTGGGATGATGAGCTGGATGGACTGCAAGGTCAGTTTGAACCACAAGGTCAGTGGTTCAAGTTCACCAGTCACTCCTTGGAAACCCTATACAGGGTTGCTATGGGTTGGAACCGACTCAACAGCACTTAACAACAACAACAACAACATATAGGGTCACTATGCATTGGAATCAACTTGATGGCAAAAGGTTTGATTTATTGGGTTGGATGGTAGTTCTGTGCTTCACTCCAAACTGGTTTATTTGGCATTTACCCTCCTGCTAAAAATTTGCATTTGCAGTCCAGATACACTGAATGAGAATCTAAATGTTAGGAAAAATATTATCTAGGGATCTAAAAGAATCACCTAGGGCTATGGAAGAATTACCTGGGTACCTTGTCAATGTATGTGAAGTGGAAATGCAAATTCTCAGCAGGGGACTAAACCTGAATGAGCTGATTTGAAGCTCTAATTCTGTTTAACTTTTTGAGAAACCACCAAACTTTCCCACAAGACTTGTATCATCTTGCATTCCTATAAGCAAAGAGTTTCTCCACATACTAGCTAACATTATTTTCTGTTTTGTTTTTGCTGCTGATTTCAATTTTTTACTAGAGAAGGCTTGTCCTCAGGGAGACAGGGTATCCCAGGATATCCCAGAGAGAGGTGAGCATATGCTCTGGAGGAGACATGCTGAGCACCCTCTTGCCTACCTGTTGATGGGGGTGGACTTGGTCCCAATGGCCAGGTCTCAAAGCCTGTGAGTGTTTCCGTGGCACTGGCTGTGGGAAAGGAGACCGCACTTTCATGGACTGGATTAGGAATGCTGTGGGTTCTGCTTAAAGGATGAAAGAATATAGGTGAGGGAGTTTGCTGAGCTGTGTGCCATCCCCCAGATGTACTCTGAGCAAGGAGCCAGGGTGGTTTGAGGGGATTTCGCATTCTTTCTCCATCAGGCATCTGCTCTTTGGAAACAGTTCATTAGCAAAGTTTCTTCTTGGATTAGATTACTAGCAAAACCAGCTGTGAAAAGCCTTTATACACATTAGTGGGGGCACCTGGGCTCAAGCCTATTAAAGATGGTGAGAATGACACTAGACTCGGTAATGTGTCCTTCTGTTGCTCTGATAGGCAGTGGCACCTAACAACAACCTGGCCGAGGGTTTGGGGAGGGTGGCACCTCAGTGCAGGGGCCATCCTGGAGCCTCTGATAATGTTTCTTCTCCCTCCCTCTATCCTGCAGCAATGGAATGGCAGGGACACGGCCCTAATGGTCACCCGCGTGGTCAACCACAGGCGCTTCTCAGCCACAGTCAGTGTGGCAGATACTGCCCAGCGCAGCATCAGCAAGTACCGCTGTGTGATTCGCTCTGACGGGGGTTCCGGCGTGTCCAACTATGCTGAACTGATTGTGAAAGGTGAGTAGCCTCTGTCCCCAGACTTGCCAAGGTGGCAGGTCTCACTGGGACTGACCTGCTATATCGCAATGGAGCTGTGCACTGGGCAGAGGAGCGAAGACCCCTTCTCTTACCTGCTAATCTACCTTTGGATCAGTAGGATAAAACATGGGCT